AGGAGCTGCTGCCCGGGGTGTAGGAGGGTGGGGGGGGTGGGACACAGGGCACTGCTCAGGGAAGCCAGAGGGCCTGGAAGGGACTCAGGGGTGAGAGAGTGGCCTGCTTCCTCCCTTCTGCCTGCAGACTTGCTGACTGGTTCTCTGCATTCGTGTGTGTGTGTGTGTGTGTGTGTGTGTGTGTGTGTGTCCCCGCTTCTCTGCTCTGTCTCTGTCGCTTTCTCCTCCCTAGGAACCAGCACCCCTCCTGCCATCGCTGCCACGCCCGTCTCGGCAATCCCTGCTGCCCTGGGCGTCAACGGCTACAGCCCGGTGCCCACCCAGCCCACCGGGCAGCCTGCCCCTGATGCTCTCTATCCCAACGGGGTTCACCCCTACCCAGGTGGGGGTCTCTGCCTGCCCCCGCTCTCTCCCCAGCAACTATCAAAGCCGCCGCTGCCATTGCTCGCAGACAGCCGTGGCGCCCCTTCCCTCTCCAGGCCTCGGGGTGATAAGCTGCTTTCTCCTGCTCTGTCATCCTTGGGCAGGGATGCTCCTGCCCGTTCTCAGCCAGGGAAGCTGAGGCTTAGAGAAGCCCAGGGTTTGCACAGCCAGTCACAGACTCCACGCTCTGCCCTCTCCCCGCGGCTCTGGGCCTTTGCGCGCTCTCCCGTCACACCCCGTGCCCTGTGAGGCTGTCCTCCCCACCTGCCTGGCCTCTCCTCTGCGTCCTGCCCCACCCTCACAGTCGGTGCTGCTCTCCCCAGCCCAGAGCCCCGCGGCCCCCGTGGACCCCCTGCAGCAGGCCTACGCGGGGATGCAGCACTACACAGGTGAGGAGCCCAGGGCCCCCCCTGCCACCCCGGACGGGAGGGACGGCGTGGGACCGAGGCTGGGCTGCCAGGCGCCCCGCCCTGCCAGCCACCCCCTCGGGCTTCCTGACGTTAGGGGCAGTGCACCCAGAGTTCAAGGCGGCTCCTTCTCTGACCCTTCTCAGCCCTGTCCATCCCTGTCCACCCCGGGCTGCTGGCCAGAGGGCCCCGGGGGCCGGGCGAGTCTCGGGACCCACACTAGCTCTCTGCTCTCCACCCCCCAGCAGCCTACCCAGCAGCCTACAGCCTGGTGGCGCCCGCGTTCCCGCAGCCTCCCGCCCTGGTCGCCCAGCAGCCTCCACCTCCTCCCCAGCAGCAGCCGCAGCCGCCGCAGCCGCAGCCACAGCAACGGGAAGGTGCGGCCTGGGCGCCCTCCTGCCAGCCCAGAGCCTTCCGGGACAGGAGCGCCCTTGCCCTGGGCTGGGGACTCCCGGTCGCCTGCTCGCAGCCTGCCTCTGGCCCCATGTGCGGGGAGAAAGCGAGTGGGGATGAGGTGTCTGGTGCCCTGGCCTGCACGCTGGGGGCTGGGATGGGAGGGTCTGCCCCAGGCCTGCTTTCCGTGGGGCGCTTGCCCCTGAGTGCTTCCCAATCACTGGGCTCTGCCTCTGTCTCTGCTACCACCCAGGCCCTGACGGCTGCAACATCTTCATCTACCACCTGCCCCAGGAGTTCACGGACTCAGAGATCCTCCAGATGTTTGTCCCCTTTGGCCACGTCATCTCAGCCAAAGTCTTTGTTGACCGGGCCACCAATCAGAGCAAGTGTTTTGGTAAGAATATGATGATCCAAAAGATAAAATACGGCACATTTTTGCCTATGGACAAGGTTTGAGACATTTGAAGGCATTTATGGTCACAGTGGGCCCAAACTTTGAAATCCAGATTGTCCAAGAGTCAGAAAGAGCCTTTCTTACACCCTCGGCATCCTGTACCAGCTGCTGTCCAGGCCCAGCTCTTCCTCCAAAAACTGCAGCTTTACCTTTTCTCCTTGAGCACTGGTCAAATTCATGCTCCATGAGGTCTGGAAGAGGCTCAGGAACGGGATGTTTGGTTTTCACAAGGAAGGCTTAGGGAGTGGAGTCTTTTGGCTTTGTGTCTAAAGTTGCTTCAAGGGAGAAGGAGCCTTGTCCGCCCTGCTTGAGAAGTCATGAAGGGCCAGAAGTGGTGTTTTCAGAGTTATCCAGGCTGAGGAAGGGGCTGCCCTTTAAAGAGCGCTGGAAAGAATGTCCTAGTGCATGTGAGTGGCAGGACTGCATTCATTAACTCAACCTATCAATCAGCAGCTACCCATCGAATGCCTACTGTGTGCCAGGCATTCAGGATCCCGGGAGGAAGTAGGGTGGTGCCGGGGAACCAAAGAGCAGGTTCTGGCCCTCAGCACAGGCAAGTGAAGTGGGGTTGGGCTGGGCCTTATGCCCCTCTCACCTCAGGCTTTGTGAGTTTCGACAATCCGGCCAGTGCGCAGGCTGCCATCCAGGCCATGAACGGTTTCCAGATTGGCATGAAGCGCCTCAAAGTCCAGCTAAAGCGGCCTAAGGATGCCAACCGGCCCTACTGAGGGCCCCCAGGTGGGTCCTGTTCTCATCCTGTGACCTCTTAAGCTCCCTCACACTGAAGCCAGGGCCCTCACTTGGACTGCCCTCCCACCCCCCCTGTTCCCCCAGCCTCAGGGATGCCCACCCCACCCCCACCCCTGACTCTGGGCACTTGAAGCAGGGATCTGGTATAGCTCCTTCCTTATGCTGTGTTTCAATCACCCGAGTCATTCTCTCTCTCTCTCACACACATATACATACACATGCGTGTGCACGCGTGTGCATGCACACGCACGCACACACACACACACACACAAACTGTGACCCCAGAGAGAGCCAAGTCTGTCTAGATCTGTGTCCACTCCCCACGTCTTCCTCAGTATCTGGTCTCGTTTGTCTGGTCAGTGTCCATGTGTTTGTGTGTCTCTCTCTTTTTGGTTTTCCTTTGGGTCAGAGTGGAATTAGGGGAGTAGAGTTGGGGAAGTAAGGGGGCTGGTACAGGATACTGGAGGGTTCTAGAATCATGGCTCCTGGAATATCTATCCTCCTGAGAGGTGGGGATATCAGACCCTCAGTGCCCTGGATTCCAGGTAGTATAGACCCTGGACTCTGATGCAGTATAGGCCCATGGGACAGTGGAGAGTGCACAAAACAGACTGGGGGAAGTCCAAGCTTCAGGCCTCCCAGGAGAAGCTTCAATTTAGGTGGAGAAGGCCAAAATGCTGGACTGCCTGAATTTCACTAAATGGGTCCCCTCCGCCCCATTGCCACCACCACCCTAGCCTCATGGCCACAGAGCTGTGAGCTTTGGTGACTTTTGTGTTTGTTTAATCTCCTTTGGACCAAACCCCTGAAAAAACACAACCCAAGAACAATACCCACATTTTCTGTTTCTCCCCCTTTCCCCCCAATCCTGGCTGCTTAACTCCCCCCACCCTGGGGGCCCCCCCAGCCCAGGGCCCGTGTTCATTGTCGGCCGAAGCCCCCATCCCCGGACCCCTGCTCCGGGCCCCTGTAAGTTGCATGGAACGAGCGTGTTGTCTTTGGAGCCGATTGTTTGTTATTTGGGGAGGGGGCCGCGGAGGGAAGCGCCCCTCAGCCCAGGGTCAGGGCCGGGGGCAGCTCGCGGGATGTGCTTGGTCAACAGTGGTTGGTGACTGTGGTCTGTGTTCTGTGCCTTTCTCTCTTGCTTTCTTTGTTCCTTTCTGAAAAGGAATGAGAGCACTCTCTAGGGGCTGGGGGTCTCAGCCCTCAAGTCTGCAGCCCTAAGCCCAGCCCCAGGTCCTAGCCTGGCCACCTTGCTCTTCCTCCAGGTGTCTGTCTGTCTGCTGCCCCTTCTCCTCCTTTCTCTTAGCTATCTCTGCCTGCCTGCCTGTTGTCTCACTCCTTTGCTTTGTCCCCTCCAGTCCCTGTCACCATATCTTCCAGCCTTTGTTTCTCTCACGGGCTGTGTGAATATCTCCTTCTGCATATCCTTTGGTTTCTTATATCATGGGCCCTCTCCCTCCCGTCTCCTCCATCATTGCCCCTTGTCCAACAGCTGTGGGGCTCCATCTGGACTGAGGCCTTTCGGATGACCTGTCTTCCCCAGGCGGCCCCATCCTATCCTGCGTCAGCCAGCCCAGCTACCTCTTCCCTGGCAGGGCCTATGACCTGCCCTGGCTGTGTCTTCCCCACAGCTTCACCCATGTCTCCTTCCTTCACAGGTCTGGAGACACCAGAGGAAGGGGCACCACACCCCTCTCCCCACGTCTGGTCCCAGCCCTCTCTGCACACCTGCCCGGGTCTCGATGGGGCTCTGGGGCAAAAGCTGCTTCACAGCCCTGGGGGAACAGGACACTGGCCCACTCCCACCACCCCGCCCCTCCTGAAGGGCCTGTTTCCTCCCAGGTGCCCTTTTGGCCTTTGTGAGGGAGCAAGGGACAGGCTCAAAGGCTCCGGGGTATCTGCCTTCTGCTGGGGCTCCTGTGGTGACCTTCTGTACCCAGCTTTCACACTTGCCTCCCCCACCAGCGGGCCTGTGGCCCCCGGGAGGGCAGAGGGGCCTCCCACAAGCTCCCCACCTCACCCTCATCCCAGCCTCTTCCCCACATTAGGGGTTTCTCAGAAGCTGGTTCTCACACTCCCTGCCACCCTCAGCTAGAGGTAGGATATCCCTGAACCCTGGGCTCCCAGCCCTAAAACTCACTGCCTCCCCCATGGGCCCCCTCTAAGGAGGGTGTGGGGGAGCCCTGAGGGCTGCCTCTCCACCAGTCAGCCACAGAGACCCTCCTCCTTTCATGAGGAAAAGACCTCCCCCGAACCCCTAAAAATGTTTACAGTCTCTGCTGGTCCCCTCCGTGTAAATACCACTACCACCCGTGCGTTATCCAGCCCGGCCCGGCCCGGACGCTGCCATCTCTCTTTCTGGGAGTTTAGACAATGTTTCCCTTGGATTTTTTCTCTCTCTTGATTTCTCCCTTTGCTTTGGGGGTAATTGGGTATTTGGGAGGAGGGTGTGGGGAGGGCTACAGGGGTTTATTACCTGATCATTTTCTTTAGGAAGAGGTTTTAGGGGAAAGAAACGGGTGGGGGTGGGAGTGGTAAGGGGAGACTGGGGAGTCCGTTTCAGACACTTCTCTATGCTTAACTTATTTATTTATTGCATTTTACTTTTAAAGAGTTGGTCTTTTCTGTCTAAATAAAGAAAAAAGTTTAAAAGCATCAAATAAGAGTCTTGGAAAGTTGCGGGGAGGGGATTTTGCGTACTGCGGAGGGGACGAAGGGAGGGAGGTTTGGGAGAGAGACCTGTTAGGAGGGTCCAAGACCTTTGAGGGGTCCAGGCCTTGACCATGGCTTCATGATCCCATTCTTCCACCCTTCCTTGAGGTTTAATCCTGGAATGCTCTGCAGCACTAGGCACAGAGGGAAGAAAGCAGGTCAGCAGGCCTCTCTTGTATCCAGCCCTGTCCCTCTGAAGGCTGGGGACTTCACTCTCATGTTCCTGACCTCCATTTCTCCCTTGTTGGTGGGGGTGAGCTGTCTCTGCACCTACCAGTGGGGATACAGGGAGCTAAGCTTTTGCTCTGTGATTCTGTTACAGGCCCTAAATGTACATTTCCTCATTTAACCTCCCAACAACTCTGTGAGGCGGGATACAATTTTATAGACAGGTTAAAAAGGGCTTGGGAGGGTAATTGACTTATCCATAATCACAAAGCTACCAAGGGATGGCTGCAGGAAGGAAGCCCTATATGTCAGACTCCAAAGCCCATGATTCTCTCATCTTGCAGGCTCAACTACCTGGTCTTTGACCCGAGGCAATGATCCCAACAAGTACCAAGCAGGCTGTCACAGCGAGTCCCATCAGCAGAAGGTGGACTGCATAAGTCCTGAGGTCCCTCCGATTTGGTTCTTAGATTCTTCTCTGTGAACTACTTTAGGGCTGGGTTCAGGGGGCTCACACAGGGGTAGTGTGTGACTTCACAGCATCTAGGCCACTTGCTTTTAGCAGCAACCTGCTACTCCACCCTCATTATGCCCCCCCACTTTAAGCTTGCTCACCTTCCAGCCCAGCCAGCCTTAGGCCAAGCTGTTCCACCAGCGCACAAGGATGTGTGACTCCTCACCACCCACTCCAACCTCAGCCCCGTACTTTGGCCTTCTCTTAAACTGCCCTAAACTGAGAGTAGTACAAAGAGAAGCAACATGTGAAGTGCAATAGAAACATACCTGTGGATATCGTTTCAGGGAAAACAAGTCTCTTAGATTGGCAGAGTCCAGGGATGGGGCCTTACTCAGAAGGAAGAGAATCCAGGCAGGAGCATCTGTAATCTCGAATATGTGGGGGGGGGGGGGGGGGGTGTGGGGGGGTGTGTGTCTGTGTGTCTGTGTGTCTGTGTGGTAACAGACACGCAAAAGTGTGTGTAAGGATAGCAGGAGTTGGTATCAACACCAGGAGTTTTCCCTTGTACTGTCTCGCTGTGGCCTCACTGCAGTTTCTGGGTCAGGACAGAAAGATGGAAGGTGTATTTGAGACCAAAGAGCATCTCCCAGAGTGACATACTGATTGGTGGGTTCTCCTGGGATGCAGGAGTTGGGAGGCAAAAGGAATCGGAAGTGTCCTCCTCCTGGTATCCCCCCTGATCTCAGGCAACCCCTCACCAAACACTGAAGAATCCTTATTGTCACTGTTCACGGCTTGCCCTTCCCTGCAAGGAGAAGGAGCTCCAAAGGAGCCAGATTTTCTCCAGAGAAGCAGTAGATACAAGTAAAGTTGAATGATGAAGAGGGAGACACAGAGGGGTCTTTTGGGGGGAAACAAAACATTTCAGGGACAGGGATTCTCCAGGTCCTTTTTAAAAATTATTTTAGGGGCGCCTGGGTGGCTCAGTCGTTAGGCGTCTGCCTTCAGCTCAGGTCATGATCCCAGGGTCCTGGGATCGAGCCCCACATCAGGCTCCCTGCTCGGCGGGAAGCCTGCTTATCTCTCTCCCACTCCCCCTGCTTGTGTTCCCTCTCTCACTGTGTCTCTCTCTCTGTTAAATAAATAAAATCTTTAAAAAAAATAAAAATAAAAATAAAAATTATTTTAATCCCAGTATAGTTAGCAGTGTTATATTAGTTTCTGGTATACAATATAGTGATTCAGTAATTCCATACATCACCCAGTGCTCATCATCTCTAGGGACTTTGATGGCAAAACGTAGGATCCTTGGAGACAGAAAAGGAAGCTCTGAACTTGTATCTTGCATAAAAACAGATTTCTTAGGCATCATATTAGCTTCAAATATAGTAGGAAGGGTATAAAGGAGGGTAGTTCTGTTAGCTCCCGAAGTTCACTACCACCTCTTCTGAGCAGGGGGGTCTGAGCAGTAATAAAATGGGAGAGCAGAAGAAGTAAGAAATGAGGACAGTTGGATCCCCCAATTCAGACCAAGCAGGATGAAACTCAGCTGCTTCTTCCAATATGATCAAGTTACTGTTCCAATGTTAATGGCAGCATAAAGAGAAGGGAAAAGGAAAAGAAATTCTTAAGGCAAAAGAGTGGAGCTGACAGATTAATAGCAGGGATTGGGAGGAGCCTTCCATTTATAGAAATGAAAACAGACATTTAGGAAAATATCCTCCATTAGGGGGGCTCCAGGGATGAGAGTGTGGCTGGGGAAAGCCCTGGATAATTCTTCCTCCAATGCATCCCCATGCCCTGGCCATATTTTGAGAGCTTAGAAATGGACAAACGTCAGGCAAGGTGTTTCCATTTCCTCAGCAGAGACCCTGCACAGCCCATCCGACTTGCAGGGCTTCGTCTTTTCACTCTCCTGCTAAAATGTCAAAGCCTTCGCGGTCTTGGCTTCTAGTATTTGTGACTGCAGCATTTCCACTTGCGGCCAAGACTCACTCTCTTCTCTGAGTCTGACAACTTGAGTCGCCCTGAGCCAAGCATCTGGTCCTTCGAAGATTCCCATTCTCTGGGCCTTCTCTGGGTCTACTTCCCTGAGTAATCAGGCAGCTTCCTCTTGCCCCCCACAAATGGGGTCTCCCTCCAATATACTGCATCCTCTCATCCACTTGATGAGAATGACTCCCAGCTGTGTGTTTCTAATTGAACTTTTGTCCTGAACTCAGTCTGGGAGTGCCTTCCTCCCTCAGGCTTCCTCATAAGTATCTAGCACCACTATTCACTGTCTCACGCCTCCTATTCAATCCAACTGCAAAGCCCTACTTGTCCTCTCTCTCAAATATATTGTTGACCTACACACATCTGTCTTTCCATCTCCATGGCCACAAAGTCCAAAGTCACCCTCATACCACCAGAGCCCTCTGGTGTCCTCATGTGTCTCTGTGGTTCCCTTCCCGCCCTCCTACAACCTGTTCTTCATAGAAGCCTTCTACAAATCCATTCACAGACAGATGCTGAGTCCGTTCTCCACCTTGTTTACCACCGTATCCCCATCACCCTCAACAGTGCCCAGAACATTAGAAGGTGCTCAACAAATAATTAAGAAGTAACTGCTGGATGTCTATATATCTAGATTTCTCACCCATGCTTAAATCATAATAGGTCCAAAGCTAAAACATTTTCTCCCTGTTTCAACTCTTAAATATTTCCATTTTCTAGCCACCTAGACATGAAACCTCAGGAGTCTTTTACTCCTGACACATGCATTCAATGTTATTAAATCACGAAAGATTTTACTTCCACAATTTTTTTCTCACATCCATATCCTTCCTTTCAATTATCACTGCCTCCACTTACCAACTAATCATAACAGTGTCCTAATTGAGCCTTCTGTGTGTATTCTAAAGCACCAGTTTCTAAACTGCAGCTCATTAAAAAAAACCTTTTCTTTTAAATGTAGAACACCTCACCCTGGCATTCAAGGCTCTTCAAACCTCATCTTCCATCTTATTCCTACACATCCCTAAGTTCTAATCAAATAGGACTATTCATTGTTCATCTGGACAGGTTTGATCCTTCCCCTCCCCCCATGGCTTTTCATTCCCAATTATAAGTGTCAGGCACATAACAGCTCAATAAACTTTGTGAAAAAACCTTCTTGTTGAAATCCTGCTCATCCTAAATGGTTCATCTTAAACGCCACTTTCTTCATGAAGATTTCCTTAGCTGCTTTCATCCAGAGGTCTTTTTTTCCCTCTCTTCTTCCTAGTCCTTATGGCACTTTAACCTTCCACTGCCGTGTATCATGTCATTCGTAAATCTCTCAGTTCTCTGCTGGGCTGAAGGCGGCAACAATGGCTCTTCCTTTGCCTTTGTATCTGCTGTTGTACAGAACAGGATGACCTGCGCATGGCAGATAGCCAATCAATGTTTGTTTACTTAAACTTCTGTAATTCAACTCTGGGATTCCACTTTTTACTTCTCTACAGATTCTTTCCTTGTTAAAGAAAAAAGAATTATTCCCCCATTATCAGATTTGTCAGATCCCAATTATTTAATGCTGATGGCTGAGTGAATGAGACCCAGAACAAATGTCTCTCCCCAAACTGCCAAAAGAAATGTCAAACTAGTTCTTGCTTTTATAGCCTTCAATCAAGGAGCAAAAAGCATATGGTCAGGGGTTAAAAAAATAAGAAAGGTTTACAAAAATAACAAAATATCTGACCTAATGCAAATGCTGAGCTTTGCACAGAGAGGAGCAGGTACTCTTTGGAGTAGGTCATTAGGCCACAGCACCTGGGATTCCTCTGTAAAAACAAAGTACATCCAGGACCACCTTTATTCTCAGGGGTGTGGGCAGAGGAAGGAATACAACCACCCAGAGTGCCTACTATTATGCATTATTATTGTTGTTGTTATATTAGGTTCAGATTCAGGAGATCAGTCTCCTGAGGTATTTGTAAAATGAAATAGCAGATCATGTTGCTGGGGTAGGGGGACAGTGCTAAGATGTGTCCCAAGGGCTTTGCTAGGCTCTATCTGAGTAAGGCTGAGGGAGAGGAGTCCTGTGAGTTTTACCATGGATTTGGGGGGAGGGGGGACTGGCACAATCAACTCTGACATCTGAGGGAGGAGGAGGCATTTCCAAAGGAGCCACTGGAAACAGAACTTTAGGTGAGGGGCCTCCCAGCTTCTCTATCTCCTGCCCTCAAAAGACTGCCCCACTAGCTACCCAGGAGAACCACCTAGGTGTTCCTTCCCATTTTCAGACTGACCTTTCTAACTCCAATCTCAAAGGTCCCTCTTCACTTCTTCCCATGCAACCCAAAGGATGTGTAGTCTAGGAAGGCACAGACTACTTTCATCAATAAATCAATTTATTTAAAAGAATATGTTACAATTAATTACACTAAGTGACATTACCAAACAATTTTAGAGTGGTTAGCTCTAGAACAAGGAATGAAAGAAACACTGTTAGCCATTATGTGTCTGTGTATTTTCTCTTCACATTTCTTAAATCACAAATAAAAAATACAAGATACTGCAGTGAAAATACAATTAGAGTTTCTCAAATAAATTAAAAGTATGCATGGCCTGGGGAAAACTGAAGCCCAGCTCACTGGCTTAAAAGGGGGGCATGATATAAAACTGGTGTCCAATTTAGCAACTGGCCAAGTGCCTTCAGCCCACAGCACTCCCCTCTTTGCTCCTACCCTTCCCCAGAACCCTAAGCATTCCCCACACTTGAGATTATTGCTGAGGAGTGAGCTGCTGTCCTGGTATGAGTGAGGCCTGGCATGACGTGCTCAGGGCTAGGGGGAAGGGCAGGCAGGAGGTGGAACTGGAAGACAGGAGTTGAAGAAGCAAATCCACTGCCTCTCTTCTCTTCTGAGTATCAACAGTGTTGTCCTCCCTTCAAAAGGAAGCTAATGGGACACAATCAACCTGGTGAGGGAACCTAGCAGTACGCTGGGCTCCAACAGCCAAATGGTCTCTATGCTGAACTGATCCAGCCAGAGAGCACAATAGTCCCTCCAGGTCTGGAGACCTGAGTCAACCAGGATGCAGTCTCCTCAAGGAAACCTGCCTCTTAGGAGCCAGGCTGTAAGGTGGCAAATTCTGAGAGGAGAGAGAGGTGTCCCCTCCTGTCAATGCCCTGTACTGCTGCTTGGATCCAAGCACTAGGTTTGGAGCTACAAGAGGGGATAACCAAAGCTACCGGCCTGGGTGATGACAGGATGAAACTAGACAGGCCAGGCCTAGGAGCTGCCCTGAGCACACACCTGGGCTGAACTTAGGCTGAGGGCAAGGAGAGGGCAGGAAAATGGAAGAGTAGAATAAAAATATAAAGAGCAGAGAGCCCAAAGCATGGCCCAAGGAAACCTTTCTGCAGGGACAGGTTTCTCAGGGCCTGCATTTTCTCCTGATCTGTACAAAACTCTGAGCTTTTACCAAAGAGGATAGAAACTGAGTAAAAGAGGGAAGGACAACAGGAGATCAGGAAGATCCTGCTGGCTCTGCTGGGGCAAAGCAGAGGGGAGGGGGAGCCCCTCCATTTCCCAGAGACAAACTGCAAAAGAAGACTGGGCAGAAGGCTCCCTGGGCACAACCCAGGACTAAGAAAGACAGCAGGGATTGGGGAGAGGAAGTATAGAGCAAGGGGGGAAAGGATGTCACACTAACACTGCTTCATGCAAAAAAGAGCTTGATCCTATGGAGCCACAGTGACCTCTGCCCTGGTCCAGGAGGCCTGCTGTGGGAGGAAGAGGGGAAGGTGCCGTCCTCCAGGGGCTCCTTCCTTCCCCCCCCTTGCTATAACTGGGTGCTTTGTTAGTGGTACAGCCACAAGTAGGGGCTGTTCCTAAATAGATTCTGCCCACAGGCCAATACCCACGGGGCCCTCGCCTACTCTCCAAAGCACCAAGTGAATGAATGCTCTGCCACAAAGGGACCAGAGCAGCATCCACCCACTCCAAGGGGCCTCCATCCTACGGGCATCCCCCCCCGTCTCACATCTCACAACGGGAGGTCAATATTTGGGATAGTGCACGGACTCCAGATTTGTTCATTCCTCTCCCACTCTGAGGGAATACAGGCAAACTGCTGCTATGTTTACAGTTTGAACAAAGCTGGTGCCAAAAGCCTCTTTAGCATTTTGGAGCGGGGAATCAGCATATCTTCTTTCTAGGGTCCTTTGGCTCATTATTAAATTCATTTAAGCCAAAAGAAGATAATCCTGTATCAAAGCTTTCAAACCAGGGATCACTCTCTGTAACATTAAACATTCAGCATCCCTACATTCTGTATTCTATGATTCCACCTAGATTTGAAGAAGGGGAGGGAAGACAGGTGTCCTGTATGATCCCACACTGTCCTGGGGCAAGCAGCTGCCAGGATTACAGGGTGAGAGAGAAAGAAAAGTGGCCTCACGACGATCTGCAAAAACAAGTTACCAAAAAAACTTCAAACCACCCCACCACTGCTCAGTAGAGTGACTAAACCAAGTATGGCTGCCTCCCAGTTAGACAAAGCAAAAGATGCCACCCAATGGAGGTTTTTGTTTAGAAGGTAGAGAAGGGAAAAAGAAAAGAAGGCTCACAGACGTGTTCCAGTTGCACGGGAGCCCAACCTCGAGCTCCCAATGCAGTATTATCTCTAGAGCCTGGGGCTGAGAGTGTTGCCCCACCTGGTCAGCCCAGCCCCCAGGTCCTGGGATACAGCTCTCAGGATTCAAAAGCTCAAACTGCAAGGTGAAATGAGGAGCTCTTTGAGGGACAAAAAGGTTCATCTTCAGTCTCCTTTTCATTAAAAATTGAGATCCAACTCAAATCAACCATATTCCTACTGGTCCTTCCTGGGTCCTCGGCTGGCTTGGATGGGCACTGGTTTGGTTGGCACAGACCACTGACTCATTCCAAGTTTCCCTAAGGCCTTGGGGATACTGTCAGGTCCCTCCCCAACAAGGCTCTTTAAGGAAGTCACGGAGAATGTAATTGGTTATGGGTGGTTATTGGTCAGGAATGGATAGGGAAAAGCTTAGGTACTTAGGGCATTTCTTCCTTCTTTTCCCCTAAGTCCAATCTTTGTGCCTAAAGGTATTGGCTTTAACTCTGGTCCCTAGTACTCTGCCTGCTTCAGAAACGGCAGGGAAATGAGAAATTACAACCACGAAGTGTTTCAGGTTCCTGTGGCATCAAGCTCCTGAGCTGACCCTCCCCACCATTCTAGGTCAGTGGAGGGTGAGCATTCAAGGGGCCCTCGGGAAGTGAGAAGGAGATGTGGATGGAATGTGGCTAGAAAGCCATGAGTGGAAGAGAGAGATGGACCAGGAAAGTTGTCTTGGAATCAAAGACCACACCAAGTCTTTAGACTCTCCCTGCAGATCTGCAAGCCTTGCTACCCTTGAGAAACACACCTCTTTCTCCTCCCCAGCAGCCTCGTGGAAGATAAAGAAACTATGCTCCTTGCTCCTCAGACTCTACGGCAACCCATGAGCCAGAATCTTCACTCAATACAAAAAAAGGGGGGAAAAAACCCAAGCAGGTTGTAAACTTTTCGAGTCCTTCATGAGGAGAGGTATTTTCCTGGTAAAATATTTTTTTTTCCTTTTTAAAGTTTGTTTCAAAATAAAGAGAGCAAGAGAGAAGTCATGAATTCTAGTGAAAGGTGTGTAAAAACACAAGCTAAAAAAGGTACTGCCATCAATATGAAATTTAAAAAGAAATATATATATGTATATACGTGCAGCTAATTTGTATATATATAATTTTTACATACATACATATATATGTCTGAACAGTGCAAATGGATGGAGTTCATAGTTCCAGTTTTAAAAATATAGTACAAGGAGAGTCTGTTGGTACGAGGCCCAGGTGAAAGGACAAAGATACCTTTGGCGCATTGTTGGGCTTATTTTCCTGTCTTAACTCAGCTGACTCCTGGTGCTGACCAATCTGTCATTCTCTACCAGCTCAATTCCAGAGACATGAAATTCAGAGGGATTATTAATAGTATTTAGTTTAGGGCTTTTGAACATAATGACTTTTTTCCTTTTTCTCTTCTTTTGTGTTAATGGTTACTCTGTCTGACACAGGAGACGAAAGGGGTGAGAGGATGAGGGTGAGGAGGAGGGGTGAGGAAAGGCTAGGTGGCCACATCCCTCTGCTGTGACCGCGCCATCTGGAAAATGTTCTGAAAGGGAAACAGAGAACAGTCATTGGGAAGCCTGAGGTGTCTGCATCTCCTCCCACCTGGTGGCCACCCTCAGACAGAAACAGAACAATATATGGCTAGATGACTCCATCTGATTGGCCTCCACCTCTGCTATAACTTCCCACCTAGACGCACAGCCTTTTAGACCCAGAAAGGAGCTTAGATATTAGTTATCTGGTTCAGCTTTCCCATTTTATAGATGAGAAAAGACAAGAAACCTGAGATCTAGGGAGGCTCATTTGCCCAACGTTGCAGGGAGGAAAAAAGCTGGGACAAAATCCTGATCTGATTCTCAGAGCCCAATGTTCTTTCTACTATACCAAGATTATAAATTTTTTATAATCCTGACTTTACCTTCTGAACTTCAGAAACATTGTCTTTGAGAATCAGTAGCAAATTATTCAGAATCTTCCAAATTCTGCTCCAGCACTGGCAAATATGGACAGCAGTAAAACAGGAGCAGAACCCTTCCCACACATACGCATTCTTGGTTCACCCAGACAGGTTCTGTCACGACTTGTCTAGTCAGAACAGCTAAAAGCGAGGACAGCTGCCCTTTTGGGTCAGGAACAACATAGGCAGTGATTTGATTAAAAAACAAAAACAAAACCACAGCAGAGGAGGGTCCATGAAGTCATGGGAGATGGAATAGCCTACAGCCAATGGCTACACACAGACAAAAGCAGGGCTTCTTTTGCACAGTCTATTCAGCCTCCAAAGGCTGGAAGAATAACCGCTCTAGAAGAATAAGCAGTCTCTAACTAATATTCCTATAAAGACTGAGATGGAGGTGAAGGTCCCAGGTATTTGGCCACAGGCCTATCACTTCAAACAAACAAACAGATAAAGTCAATTCAAGATTGTTTAGAATTACCTCTTTTCTCCACTTGAGCTCACAGAACACCCTTTCGAAGCATTCATGCATATAATTAAACTGAAAAACAAAAACAAAATAGCAACACTGACTTCTCAAGATCAGGCACCACAGGGCCATGCCTTGGAACTCCTGCCCTGTTACCCCACCTCCCAAACTTGCTCAACCTAGAGAAAAACCCTGACAAGCACCACAAAACAAAACAAAACAAACAAACAAACAAAACCCAGGCCTGGTTCATCTACTATTCTCTGGCGCCTTCTAGTGGTAGTTGTGAGTCAAACGGGATGTGAAACTGCCAATCCTAGTCAGTCCTCCAGGAAAGACAGGAAGATAACCTGGGGCTCTAGGGTTCAAAAAACAACTGCTACCTCTATAGCTCTCCCCATTTATGCATTCAGCTTGAAACTTCAAACCCAATCTACTTTCCCCAAGACAGTTTCCCTGTCTACCACTCACGTATGGTGTGAAGATTTTAACCCATCGAGGCTTCTTCTCTCCTCTGGCATATTCAAAGCAGAAGGCCATTCCTTCTTCATCTGTATCCCATCGCTGCATCTCATCCCATTCAAACGCTATTACCTGGTTCTAAACAACCGAGAACAAGAGCGTTAAGTCCGAGAATGCTGGGGAGCTTAGCTAGGATGGTTCTGAAGCAGACAGCAGAAGTGAAATGAGTGAGATGTCTGCATCATTTTAAAGAAAAGACTTTGACAGAAGAGTAAGAGTCAGCGTGAGGAGCCAGGAAGGTAAGGATTAGTGTGGATCCAGTGCCAATTTACCTACCCCATCAAAATAGCTTTGATTTCATCTCCCCTCCCAACAGGAACTAAACCCCAGCAAGTGAGTGAGCAATTGTGTCCCTAGTGCTCCCAGCCCCAGCCCCATGGTGAACTGTCACCTCCAGCTGTCCTTCTTCAGTGCAGGCATGCAGTTTAAAGTGCATGATGCTAATGGCTGTGATGACATGTCCCTTCCTCCTGGAGTCACAGGCACAGTGGGGGAAGATGATTTCATTGTAGCCCTCACAAGTCCTTAGCATGTTGAGGTACTAAAAAAAAAGGAAGGCAAAAACAGTGTTACTGTAGTATTAAACCACCATGAAGAGAACTCTCACCCAGCAACCTGAAGACCATGTTCTGGTCTCACAGCCAGCCCTAAGAAGAGCCAGGACTCCGAGCAGATCCTTTGCTCCACTTCCAGCTTCTACCTTCGTACTTCCAACCCCATCTCCTTTCTCTACCCTGTAAGTACACAATGGAGCCAGAAGAGGCGCTCTGTGTAGAGGGGGACTCACAATGCCATTAAGTCTGCCTCTCCTTTCACTTGCCTCTGGGATGGGAATCAAACCGATCTGCATGATTAAGGAAAGGGAGCTCATGTCTCCTCCCAAATCAAAAGTTATAAGGATCTCTGTGAGGAGGAGTAAGCTACCCCACATCTCATACTCATAATATGTTTAAGTTGAAAGAGACTGCTAAAGGTAGGCCCAGAGTCTCCCACAGGAGACTTGCTTAAGGTCACAGGTGAAGCAGTCAAGATTAGAAGCCAGGTTTAATTTCTTGGCCACTGGTTCTTTCTCTATTGCCGCTAGTCCCCAGATCAGTGTCACCACCCCCTGGTCTCCAGTACCTATACCTCCTTAAAAAGCACATGGACCAAACTGAGTGGCATATACAACCCTCAGAGGTACAGTGCTACAGGACTGATTCAGAAAGGACTCCAACTCGGCTTTGTCCTTTCCCCTCTACAATGAAAACTGGCCTCTTTCACTCAACGCACTATTTTGAGTTAAGAGGGGAGAGTAAAAGATGAGTGGGAAGGAAAATAGAACAGAAATAGGGAAAAGATGATTAAAAAAAAAAAGAGATGCGTGTACTCTGACCCAGTTTCCTCTCAGGGACTGACTAGGAAATAAGCAAAGAGCCTTGAGTCCCCACACACAGGAGAACAGAGCACACTGGGGACATGCAGGGAGCGCTGGAAGGAAGACAAAGGCACGGCACACTAGCTGATCTACACTAGATGGGCAGGGAGACTGGAACACACTGCAGAGTCACCTTCTGCCTAAGAAGAGACAAAGGGACCTAGGCACAAAAAGGACCCTGGGCAACCTGTAGCTCTGGTACCAACGAACAGCACCAAGACCATTGCTACTGCCCAGAGACTGTCTAGGAAGACCTAAAGGTCCACAGAAAAAAATCACACCACATGCTCCCTTCCCTACTTTGTATTTACTTCTGTTTAGGTATAATGGCAACTTTGAAGGGGAAAATTATAAAATGACAGCAAGAACACAGCGACAGGAAATACCACAATACCTGATTTGTGTCATTTTTCTTTTCTCATTTCTCCTTCCTTTTATCACCCTACTCCATCCCCCTATCTCATCATCCTTCCTGTACTAGGGATAAAAGTAGATACTGCTTGGCCCTGCCATTAGCACTCTGAGCAAAAAGATATCTCTGGGCACTAAACTTTGGTAGATAGGACAGGCAGTGCCATGGAATAAAACTCTTCTGGCGTTATAAGCAGAAACAAAGGTTGGGACAGGAAGCAGGTACAAAGAGTGGTCAAGAGCCTGGGCCCAGACTACCCTTGGCTTGAGTCCTGGCTCCATCACTTCCTAACTATGTCACCTTGGGCAAGGTACTTGCACTGTAGCAAATTACTAAATCCCAGGAGCCTTAGTTTCCTCTCCTGTGAAAAGGGAAATAGTAATAGCACCTACATCACACAGTTACTTGTGACCATTCAAGTATTTAGCGTAGTACTTAGTACATAATTAGGTATTCAATAAATGATAGCTTAAAAAAATAATTTTAAAGGCTCCATTATCCTTAGCCAGAGGGCTAAACTATTTTCTCTCTCAGGAATGCCCTGTGAAATGATGTATATGAATATTATTCTTAAAAACTCCAGGGGAGGGGCGCCTGGGTGGCTCAGTCGGTTAAGCTACTGCCTTTGGCTCAGGTCATGATCAGCGGGAAACCTACTTCTCCTTCTCCCTCCGCCTGCCGCTCCCCCTACTTGTGCTCTCCTGCTCTCTCTCTGTCAAATAAAGTCTTTAAAAAAACCCAAAACTCTGGGGGGAAAAAGCATGTGCGTGAGACAGATGAAACATGAACAGTAGTGGAAGGTTGCTGAAACTGGGTAATGAGTACATGGGGGCTAAATGTACTATTCTTCCAACTTCTTTGGAATATTTGAGTATTTGAAATATTCTACAATAAAATATTAAAGGGAAAAAGAAGAGTGCCCTGCAAGCAGGCCTGCAAGCGCTCAATCCACGGCATCCTCCTAACACAGTCATGGGAAAGTCTGCATGCTCAGTAAGCAGCAAATTCTGCTCAAAGGTGCTTAGGACCTCTGCAAATGCTGGAAGGTGTCACACAGCCTTGGGACTGGTTCTGCTCACATTCTTTACCAAAAGAGCCTTACATATAACACATTTGCTGAGATTTCTCCTCTTTGAGAAGCACCACTATTGTTTTAAAAAAAAATATTTCTGCCATATTCCTAATAGGGAGCTTTATTTTATTTCTTAAAAAGAGAAACATGTAGACAAAGGGAGGGATTAGGAAAAGCCATCAGATGAGGCATGGAGCTATGCATACCCTGACCTCTCTCTGTGACCTTGTATGAATTACTCTGCCTGGGGGCTTCCCCTCTGCCATCTGGGAATAAAGGCCAATGCGGCCAGCTTCTGTCCCTGCTATAGGGAAAAACACATGCTCTGAAGCCAGACAGAAATAGGTTCAAATTTTAGTTCCACTTCTGACAAGCTAAGTGATATTAAGTCAGAATCTTCATCTCTCAGACTCTACTTCTCCACACCCCTGCACAGTTATTGTAAGGAGGAAATGAGAATGTGCATATTGTGCCTAGAGTAGTACCAGGCACACTCTATGTGCCCCTCTCTCTCACCTTTGAGTCAAAATGCTGATTTATCCCTCCATATTCAAAAATGTAGTTCTTGAAAGCAAAGGACCTTTAGGGGACTTTCTAATGGCAATAAGTTCTAAAAATAGCCTGAATGGAAACTAAGGGCACCTGTGGCCTTGGTATGATGACAGAGGTAAAATCTCATATGGGAAATATAAGGTTTTCAGATTCTCAGGTCAGGTAGTATTTCTCAGCTTTAGGCAAATCTCTACACTCCTAGATTTGCACAAAGTATAAAGATATGAGCTGTCCTCTGTATTTGGAAAACAAGGGAACTTACAGATGTTTAAGAATTTTGGAGTATTTTGTCAAGAGTCTACGTGATAGCTGGCAATCCAAATATTCCCATTTTATGGAAAAGAAACTAAAACTGAGAAGTTGTTGAAGGTCTCACCGTGATTTGGCAACTAATAGTAGTGATTTGGCCTAATCTTGGGCCTATCAACCATATTAAGTTGCTATCAAGACACATGGGATCAGAAGGGCCCATCTGAGTGGGAAGTTTCAATGAATTGAATCTGACCACTGGGTAGACTAATGTCTTTGAACACTAATTACTTGAATACATGAAATTACACTTGAATAAAATTCATGCTTTTCAACCTTTGGTGGGATTTTATTTAAAGTCTAATTGCAATATTATAGGGCTAGTACTTACTTGTGGCACTAGGTTTTCAAGACAACAGAATTCCATAAACGTTTAAGCATATCTTATACTCAATTCCAATGATCCGAGGGGGAAAAATCAACTGTACTCGAGGTTTGTTGTTGTTGTTGTTCTTTAAGATTCATTTATTTAGGGGCACCTGGGTGGCTCAGATGGTTAAGCATCTGCCTCCGGCTCAGGTCATGATCCCAGGGTCCTGGGATCGAGCCCCGCATCGAGCTCCCTGCTTGGCGGGGAGCCTGCTTCTCCCTCTCCCTCTACTGTTCCCCCTGCTTGTGCTCTCTCACTCTCTCTATCAAATAAATAAATAAAATCTTAAAAAAAAAAAGATTCATTTATTTATTTGAGAGAGAGAGTGTGCACAGGTGGGGGGGGGGCAGAAGGGGAGGGAGTGAGAGTCCTAAGCAGAGGCACGCACGCAGGCCTCGATCTCATGACCCTGAGATCACGACCTGAGCTGAAATCAAGAGTTAGATGCTTAACCAACTGCGCCACCCAATCACCCCTGTATTCAAGTTCTTAACTGAGTGATTACAAGATACAAATTTGAGTCTAAAAGTAATTTTGTAATAGATTACCAAGCTTGTTAAATTTAGATCTTTTATATTTTGCCATAGGACAACCCAAACCTATTTAAATATTTTTAGCACCTTCTACTGTGCCTGGCACACACTTGGTAATCCACAAATATTTGTTGTCGAATGCACAAATGGAAGATAGTGTGTCTGGAGTACTACATGTGCAAAGAAACAATATGTATTCCATACTGAAATTATCAGAAGCCCTTATGTAAGTACTTTGATTTGTTGCCTTTGGCAAAGGCAAAGAAGTATTTCAGAGGCTGATAGTCCTTTAGTAGTTGGTCCTTTTCACCAAAAAGATGCAGATGCGTTGGTCAGAATCATGCATTAATATAAAGAAGACGATGCCATGATCTTAAAGAACAGGTGGAAATTGAGGTTTTTTTTTTTTTTTTTAAGATTTTATTTTTTTGAAAGAGAGAACAGGGGGAGGGTCAGAGGGAGAGGGAGAAGCAGACTCCCCACTGAGCATGGAGCCCGACAACACGGTGGAGCAGGGGGGCCCTCAACCCCAGGACCCCAAGACCAGGACCTGAGCGGAAATCAGATGCTCAACCAACTGAGCCACCCAGGTGCCCCAAAATCAAGTTTTAAAATCCTGTCTCTCACATAGTAAAATTCCCTTTACCAAAATTCTGCCAAGAATTAATTCTGTTTAAAAGATTTGTGTGTTGTCTATTTTAGCCTGTTGGTATGCAGAACATTGGTAAATGGTTCCCTGATCTCTGGCAGTTTTCTAAGACAAACAGATTTATTACTTTTTGTCATTTAAGCGATAAAATAACTATCCCAGCTAGATAAAAGATTATGGGCTGAGTTCAATGGCTGACTTGTTTGTATTCTTATTCCAACCCAATTAGTTTAAAAAGATAATGTTCCCTCATAAAAAAGTGCACACACAGAGGGTACAAAAGAAATTCAGTGATTAGCATCATCACCAATGCAATAACTGTCTTGTGTGAAATCATGAAAAACTGTAATTGGAAAACTTTCCACTATATGTGAATTTGCCAAGAAAGAAATTTTAAAATGCTATGAATGAAATTTTATGTAAGCATTCTTTACAAATTTTACTTTTGACAATTTCCATTCCTGTGTTTATGGCAGGTACAAACTGAAAACTCATTTTAAAACATTTAAGGAATATTGTAGACAGCCGCTCTCCAACAGAACTTTCTGTGATGATGAAAATGTTCTGTATTTGGGGCGCCTGGGTGGCTCAGTTGGTTAAGCGACTGCCTTCGGCTCAGGTCATGATCCTGGAGTCCCTGGATCAAGTCCCGCATCGGGCTCCCTGCTCAGCGGGGAGTCTGCCTCTCCCTCTGACCCTCCCCACTCTCATGTGCTCTCTCTCATTCTCTCTCTCTCAAATAAATAAATAAAATCTTTAAAAAAAAAAAAGAAAAGAAAATGTTCTGTATCTGAGCTGTCCAACATGGTAGGTATTAGCCATATGTGGCCACTCAACTTGAAACGAGGCTAGTGCACCTGAGGAATCGAATTTTAAATTTTATTTAATTTAAATGAGTTTAATATTAAATTTAAATAGCTACATGACGCGAGCAGCTATTGAATCAAACAGCACAGCTCTAAGATAGCACACTAACCAAAGGCACCACTGAGCATATATGTTTTAAGCAACTGCAGAGAAGGAAGTTATAAAAACAAATAATTTTGCAATTGCTAAATCACAAATAAAATAATTTTTTTTCCAAACATTTGACAGAGAGAGAGAGAGCAAGAGTGTGCGGGGCAGGGGGAATGGCCAGAGGGAGAGGAAGAGAGACAATCTCAAGCAGACTCCCTGCTGAGTGCGGAGCCCTACATAGGGCTTGATCTCATGACCCTGAGATCACTACCTGAGCCAAAATAAAATAATTTCTAATGTTAAAAATCTAAATATCAACTCTTCGAGAACTGATATTTACATATTAAATGTTCTCCACATCTTTTGTTTTAGAACTTTTTATCAAAAAACAGTACTGTTTATTGTCAATAATAAAATTAAATACCCACATGTAGCAAAATACCCTCTTATATGCTAAATGGAGGAACATAATGGGCATTACATGAAGGCCTATATCCCCCTCCTTTTTTTTTAAATTAATTAAGCCACTGACCAGTTGTAACATCTTTCAAAAATGACTGGAACAACATGTTTAAGAGATTAGAAGAGGTGTTTTATAAAGAGATTATGGGGACATAAACCTACCATGACCATTTTCCTTTGTTCATACAGCTTCTGTAATTGGTAGGACTTTTCCTCTGCTTTGATATAACCTTTTTTCACATCATCAACAGCCTGTCACCAAAACAAGGGCAGAGAAGAAAGGAACATCAAAGTCATTATCAAGCATATTCTTGATAAAAATAAAGAGATACAGATTCTTTTTCAGAACAACTCTTATCCATTTGGACCATCATCATCATCACCAGTGAACTCTGACACAAGGATATATTTATTGGAATAAATAGCATTTAAAGAGTGCCCAATATGTGCTCAAGAATTGTTCTAGGCACATGAGGGATCTTGTTTCTCCTGTTAAGAGATTTAAATTCCAGTTAATTTATACAGGTTGAAGCTATTAGAGAACACTGAAAGATATTATATAATTGTTAAAGATAACAATGAGGTAGCAAAGATGTATGGTATCGATAGTGAGTGATACACAGTAAGAACAGCAGAGTTTTTTGCTAATTATAGTTATCAGGGAAAACTTGGTTGGACCCCAAAGGTTAGGCTGAACAGAAAAAACTACAAGTGGAAGTCAGGAAACAGGAATGCATCTGAGCTTAAATACATTCGGGAGACAGATCTGCCTGATTTAAAGAAAGGGTATGTGTCAGGGGACAACAAAATATAATGCTGGATGGGTAAGTTAACAGATTATGAAGGATCCCAGAAAACAGGCACAGAAATTTAGACTTAAGGACAGCACTAAGGACTACTGGAGCTAAAATAAGCAATAAAAATTTGTGTTATTTTTAAAAGACAGACTGATTTGTATATGAGTGCCAAATGAACCAAGCTACAGAGAGAATGAAATAAGGGAGACCGATGTTATGGTGCTTTAAGCATGAAGTGAAACAAGATTGTAAAACTAGGGTGGTAACAACTGGAAGACAGGAAGTGATAAATCTGGGATCGTACATGGACAAAAATCCCCAAAAGGACTTGATACAGGCATGAAGGTACCTAGGTATAATATGCTTATTCTCAACTACTCCTGGTTCAGCTATATGAAATATGCGTCCCCTTCCCAACCTCAGCCTACCCCAAGAAAAACTTTAAAAATCTAATAGAAGGGAAAATTCATCTTTGGGAGAGAAAAAAAAAAAAAAGGAAGGAAAAGAACAAACAGAATCACTTGTCCAGGGTATTCAGAATCCAATCTCAGTGATTTGCTACAAGGCCGACTTTTGTAGGCACCAGGCTGGGGCCACTTGAACCTTTACCAGAAGACTGCTGACTTCTTTAAGGTAAAAATCATTCCCCATAGCCTTTTAAGAGAAAATATTTTACATAACATAATGAGTTCAGAGTTGAAGTCAATAAACCATTTCAACTTCTAGCTCTGTCACCTAGCAAAGTACACTTGAGTATGGGTATGGTTATGGTACACAGTGGGAATGCAGGAGGAAATGGAGCTAGAGTCTCATCTTCTATAGTGGGAAATTAAGAGATACTGCTTGAATCTGAAAATTCAAGTAGGAGCAATATAACCAAGTCATAACAGAGACATGGAAGTAAATATAAAACAAAACAAACAACAAACAAAAGCTAAAGGGGGTGAAAATGGTTGTCTAGGGGGAGCGGAGATAAAGATAAGTGGAATAATTAATACTTTTCCTAATAACCTGTGTAGAACTATTTGATGCTTTAAACTCTATGTATGTGTAATTTTGAAGAAAAGTTTTTTAATAAGTACATAGCCATATGCTCATTTCCTGTTGTTTAAAAAAAACAATAATAAATTTATTCTTGGGGCACCTGGATGGCTCAGTCGTTAAGCATCTGCCTAGGGGGCTCAGGTCATGATTCCGAGGTCCTGGGATCGAGCCCCGCATCAGGCTCCCTGCTCAGCAGGAAGCCTGCTTCTCCCTCTCCCACTCCCCCTGCTTGTGTTCCCTCTCTCACTGTGTCCCTCTCTGTCAAATAAATAAATAAAATTTTTTAAAATAAATAAATAAATAAATAAATTTATTCTTAACTCCAGGACATCTTTACTTCTTAAACTTATTTATCTTCTGTTAAATGGGATAGAACATTTTATTTTTTTAAAGATTTTATTTTTAAGTAATTTCTACATCCAACATGTGGCTCGAACTCACAACCTGAATATCAAGAGTTGCATCTTCTACTGACTGAGCCAACCAGTTGCCCCATGATAGAACATTTTAAAAATGTAACTTAACTAAGATCCAGGAGGCAAAGCAATTTATCCAAGGAATTCACACTGGATTGGCAAATTACATACTACATATAAGCAGAAAAAGAAATCAGGCCTTTCCAGGAAAATCACTTCACCTACCTGATGAAAAAAGTAGGTAACAGCAAGGTCATTGTCATTTAAGAGGATTTCTTCTTCGGTGGTAAAAAGCCACTTCCGAATGGTTAGGCAGGTGCCTGGCACAGCTGATGTGTAATTCTGGACGTAGAGTTTATGAGGAAATTCATTAGGTGCCAGCTTACGTACTGAAGAGAAGGCAAAAAAAAAAAAAGAAAGAAAGAAAGCTAAAGTGAAAAGATATGTAAGGAATTTCCTCAGCACAAACTGTGTAAAACAGATTAAGAATGGCAGGCTATCCTTAACCAGAACACTGGCTTAGAACCATCAAGTTACTCTGCTATGGGACCACAAAATAACCATTTCTCTAGCCAAATCTATCCTTCTAACTATGACTATGGCCAATCGAGCCTCAAACTGACGGAAATCTATCACTTGTAATGACGCGCCCTTGAACTAACATGTTGACTGTGCAGACAGCATCTATTCCAAAGTCAATTAAAATATCTTATCCATTATCTGGTAAGTTACAGCAATGTCCACTGAACATCATTAATGCAAGCCTCTCCTCTTACCCACCCAGCTCTGGTGCATTCAGTCTCTCATGTGGCAATTCTCAACGAACTGCTTCTATTGTTAAGAGCTGAAAGGCTCTCCCCACTCCCTATCCCCAACTCTAAGACATTCATCAAAGCGAAAAGTATCTTCTCAGTAATGTTTCTTCCTCTTCCTAACAAGGCACAGCAGGATAAAACACTATTGTGTTTAATTTCTACGTTACTTTTCTTTGGAAAGGCTCAGAGTTTTCTTCTCTTGATGTTTACTTGACTTTGTAACACTGCAAAAACAAAGATTTAATATTTCCCATTTTATTTGTTAACTAAAGCTTAGAAAAAAGGGGTAAGATTAGAATCCAAGTGCCGTGGTTCCCTAGCAATCCTCTGTAACATTTATATCTGCTCATTAGACCATAGGGAATTGGGAAGATGAAGAGTAATAAGGAGATGGCTGCTTCAGGGGGAATCAACCTTGTTATACCTTGACCAGGGATGGCAAGGTGACCCAAACCTATCAAACTCTCCCCCTTTCTGGATGAGGAGGGTGGGATCAATCAATATCTGTCATTCCTGGCCTTAGCCCCATATATATATGATGTAGAAAAGACCCATAAACTATAGGAAATCTATGTCATTAACAGCAAGCACTCGGACTTCCTCCCCTTTGTGATCTCAGTGCAACCAATGTGACCAGCATCCCTAAGCTTTTGTAAAATAACATATGAGAAACTTCCTGTCACCATGCAATAAAATTTCCTAGAAAGAGAATATGGAAAATTAAATACATGCACTAAAGCAAAGGTTTTTAAGCAATGTATCTCTTTTCTAACTCCTGAAAATAAAAAGCTATTCTTAATTATCTACAAAAAGCATAAAAGTACACTAAAACAAGTTGTGGCTAAATGGAATATCCTTCTTTTTGGCTATTTCATTGGAATATATTAATTTTGAAACTCTGATTTTAAAAAACGTCATGAAGTTATCAGTGCTAGGTATAAGTATGTTATACTTACAAAAGAGGAAAAAGGATCTACAGTGATCAGACACCCTTTTGACTTGGGCTTAATAGGATCTGCCTAGTCTGCTTGTGGGAGATAGTCCTAATGAGTGGGATTTCCCCTTCTGCAAGCTCTTATTCTCCAGGCAAACAGTTTCAGTATGACAGCTTCTGGGAGCTTCAGTCTGATAGTATTAGAATAAAATACCCTCAAACAAAACTTAAATTAGCCGACTGGCACTTACCAAAGGAATGATTGATCACTTCAAATAAGGCAAAGTAATTCACCGTCGTACTGTCCATGCCAACCTTTGCTGCAATAGCCTATAGTGTAAACAGAATAGATTCATTTTAGAGTAACTAAATCAAACAATACTTTGGGAAAAGACAGGTGTGTGCATGTACAAGGAGGGAAAGGGAGGAATTTTGCTATCTTGGTTTCACATAAACTAAATTCATCGTCTATAGCTATTCTTCTTTTTATATATGTGTACATGCACTCATGCACACATATGTATGAAATAAAAGGGGAAAAATATACCTGTATTTGACCCAGTTATGATCTCTAAATATGATTTCCCCCTCCAATTCAAGCTGGTAATAATCTCTCCTTAAATATCATCTTTTCTCTCTGAAATATGATTTCATCCCACGAAGAAGGTCTTTTTTAACACCACTTATAAGTCATGTGCTTGATAAGAACAGATCTTAAGAAGAAAATAAATTCTTAAATATCCACTCTCGCACATTTAACCTATACATTTAATACAGGCTGTTAACAACAAAATCTGTATCTTTGGTTCTTGAGCTTAAAAGAGTTTGTCAATTTTGTTCATGCTTCAAAATTATTCTTATTTATTTTTTGGACGATCCATGCCTCAGCCTGGGGACCTCCATTTCCTAAGAATTATCACCATGAATATCTATATGAAAACAGTAAAATGTTGGGACAACAGAGGAATATTAAACAAGTATTAGGGGATGCCTGGGTGGCTCAGTCAGTTAGGCGTCTGCCTTCAGCTCAGGTCATGATCCCAGGGTCATGGGATTGAGTCCCACATCAGGCTCCTTGCTCAGCAGGGAGCCTGCTTCTCCCTCTACCTGCCACTCCCCCTGCCTGGGTTCTCTCTCCTCTGACAAATAAATAAAATCTTTAAAAAACAAAACAAAACAAAAACAAGTATTAGTCCTTACTTTCTAGGAGCTCATATGACAACAAACAATTGAAAGACTCCACGTGCAAATAAATGAAAACTGGAATTACAAACAGAAGACAACAAAACTCAAAAAACACAAAATAGTACCACAATTCTTTTTCAAGATCAATCCCAATATAAATAAGGTATTAACTGAACAAGATAAAATTGTTAAATACTAGTGTCTCAGTAAACCAAATATAATTATATCCTTCTTCCCAGATCTCTTCACATATCAAACAAACCTAAGTTCATCCCTGATGTGAGATAGAAACTGGAGATTATAAATGTTCTAAGTCACCATTCTACACTGTACTGAACAGAAACTGAAATGCTTTCAAGGTTTGGAAAATGGCTGGGGCGCCTGGGTGGCTGTCGTTAAGTGTCTGCCTTCGGCTCAGGTCATGATTCCAGGGTCCTGGGATCGAGCCCCCGCATGAGGCTCCCTGCTCAGCGGGAGGCCTGCTTCTCTCTCTCCCACTCCCCCTGCTTGTGTTCCCTCTCTCACTGTCTCCCTCTCTGTCAAATAAATAAATAAAATCTTTAATTAAAAAAAAAAAGGTTTGGAAAATGCCTTATAGCTGCAAGTCTCAGGATGAGGAGAAAAGTGTCAAAAAAATAAATAAGTAATTGGCCTTGCTAGAGAAATACTGGGGGGAAAAATACAAAACAAAACATCAGCAACTTGTAAAATTAACATTTTCCTTGCAATCACTGCACCATTTTGTAATTTCAGCAGTACCTCAAATTCTGCACATATCCTCTGCCATGGTATATAGTACATGAGTAAATGTATAGGGAACAGATTTGTTTCTTTGCTACAAAGGAAAAATAAATATTAATATAGAGAAACCTGTCTCCCTGAAAGTCTTGATCAAATCAGGATTAAAGATAAAGAAAAAGGCCTAGGGTGCCTGGGTGGCTCAGTCGTTAAGCGTCGGCCTTCAGCTCAGGTCATGACCCCAGGGTCCTGGGATCGAGCCCTGCATCGGGCTCCCTGTTTGGCGGGAAGCCTGCTTCTCCCTCTCCCACTCCCCCTGCTTGTGTTCCCTCTCTCGCTGTGTCTTTCTCTGTCAGATAAATAAAATCTTAAAAAAAAAAACAACCAAAATGAACTATTGGAACCTCATCAAGATAGAAAGTTTTTGCATAGCAAAGGAAACCGTTGACAAACCCAGAAGACAACCTAAAGAATGGGAGAAGACATTTACAAATATCAGATAAAGGAACAGTATCCAAAATATAAAGAACTTATCAAACTCAAGCCCAAAAAACAAATAATCCAGTCAAGAAATGGGCAGAAGACATGAACAGACATTTCTCCAAAGAAGACATAGACATAGACAAAGAAGGCCAACAGACACATGAAAAAAATGCTCAACATCGCAAGGCATCAGGGAAATACAAATGAAAACCACAATGAGATACCACCTCACACCAGTCAGAATGGCTAAAATTAATGATGTTGGCAAGGATGTGGAGAAAGGGAAACCCTCTGACACTGCTGGTGGGAATGCAAGCTGGTGCAGCCACTCTGGAAAACAGTATGGAGGTTCCTCAAAAAGTTAAAAATAGAGCACTATTAGGTATTTACCCAAAAGATACAAATGTAGGGATCTGAAGGGGCACATGCACCCCAATGTTTATAGCAGCAATGTCCACAATAGCCAAACTATGGAAAGAGACCAAATGTCCATCAACAGATAAATGGATAAAAAAGATGTGGTATATATATACAATGGAATATTACTCAGCCATCAAACAGAATGAAATCTTACCATTTGCAACGATGTGGATGGAATTATTATGCTAAGCAAAATAAGTCAGTCAGAGAAAGATAATTATCATATGATTTCACTTACATGTGGAATTTAAGAAATAAAACAGAGGATGGGGAAGGGAGGGAAAAATAAAATAAGATGAAATCAGAGAGGGAGACAAACCATAAGAGACTCTTAACTAAGGAAACAAACTGAGGGTTGCTGCAAGGGGGTGGGTGGGCTGATGTGGTAACTGGGTGATGGGAATTAAGGAGGGCATGTGACGTAATGAGCACTGGGTGTTATATACACTGAACACTACCTCTGAAACTAATAATACACTACATATTAATTGAATTTAAATTAAATTAAACTTTAAAAAAATATATATATATATATATAATTTCTCACTGAAAGAAACCAGGACTCCTGAGGAAAGTGGCTGATTCTAGATCTAGGATGAGAAATATACAAAGATGAGGCCAGAACATTTTGTTGTACCAAAAAGCAAGAGTGCTACTACAAACAAATAAGTTGCATCAAAAGAATACAGAAGCAGACATGAAGGAGCTTCCACTGGTCAAAAATGGAACAATCTGAGCATCAAAGATAATATATGATTAAATCACATTAAATACCTAAAAACCCATGATACTAAAATAAAATAAAATAAAACAAAATAATTATCTCACTGGACATCACTGGGATCAACTAGGACACCAATTCTTTACTCTGACAATTGGCAATTAAAAAAATTCAGTATTTGGGGGGCGCCTGGGTGGCTCAGTCGTTAGGCGTCTGCCTTCGGCTCAGGTCATGATCCCAGGGTCCTGGGATCAAGCCCTGCATCAGGCTCCCTGCTCAGCGGGAAACCTGCTTCTCCCTCTCCCACTCCTCCTGCTTGTGTTCCCTCTCTCACTATGTCTCTCTCTGTCAAATAAATAAAATCTTTAAAAAAAAAAAAATTTCAGTATTTATCCTCCCTTTCCTACAAACTATATTTTAGGGTAACTACATAGCCCTAGTTAATAAGGCAAAGTTCTTGGGCGCCTGGGTGGCTCAGTTGGTTAAGCGACTGCTTTTGGCTTAGGTCATGATCCTGGAGTCCCGGAATCAAGTCCCACATCAGGCTCCCTGCTTGGCAGGGAGTCTGCTTCTCCCTCTGACCCTCCTCCCTCTCATGCTCTCTGTCTCTCATTCTCTCTCTCGCAAATAAATAAAATCTTAAAAAAAAAAAAAAATTAAAAACAAAAATAAGGCAAAGTTCTTTACAGAAGAATTCTACCGAACAAATACAAAGAAATGACAGAATTAGAAAACCAGTACTTTGCAACCCTTTTAATGAAATCACTGGTTAAGGCAGCAATCATAGATAATACACTCATCTGATTACAGACCAATGGGAAATTTTACAATAGAGAGCCCAGGTTATCACCACCTAAACCCACTGATTAATCTTAGTATCACTAAAAGTGGGATAATCAGACATTGTGTAACTCTGCTGAAAAGCAATAGGATGTGTGTGTATATATATATATATATATCACCAATTATGAAGTATTCTTATTAAAAAAAGCTGAACCTGAACCTAATCGAGCCTCTAGAACAAACTTCAATTCACGCAAAATGTAAGCAGAAGATGGACATATTAAATGACACAGATAAAAGAAACAAACAGATAAATTCAGAATGTGGGACACTGCACAACACAGACCCAATTTCTACAACAAACCAATAACACGGAAATAAAAAGTTGGGGAAGGGAAGGGAGACTGCTTTATATTAAAACAAACATAAAAACCAAACCTCGTTTAGATCCAGATTTTACCAAACCAACTATAAAAAATCATTTTCAGACAGTTGGGAAAATTTGACTATGGATTTGTTATTAGTTAATGCCAAGGAAATATTGTTAATTTTTTAGGTCTGATAATGGCTTTGTATTTATATAAGAAGAATGTCCTTATTTTTTTTAGAGATTTATACTGAAAATATACACAGGTCCAATAAGATGGAATTTGCTTTAACATATTTAAACAAAGGGGTGCCTGGGTGGTTCAGTCGGTAAAGCGACTGCCTTTGGCTCAGGTCATGATCCCAGGGTCCTGGGATCAAGCCCTGCATGAGGCTCCCTGCTCAGTGGGGAGTCTGCTTCTTGCCCTTTCTCTCCGTCTGCCCCTCTCCCCCTGCCCGTGTTCTCTCTTTCTCTGTCCCAAATAAATAAAATCTTAAAAAAAAAAATTTAAACAAAGGAAAAGGAAAAAAGGATACATAATACAAATGTGGCAAAATCTTGATGATTATTAAATATGAGTGATGGAAAAATGGAGGTTCACTGTACTGTTCTGTTTTCATGTATGTTAAGTTTTTTACAATTAAAAAGGAGGGGGGCTAATCATACCTACTATGACCCAGGATATATACTGTACCTTTCTTTCAAGAAGAGCAAAGTACTTTCACATTAATAATAACATCAACAAGAGTAGCTAACATTTAATAACTTATTATATGCCAGATAAGTCCAAGCACTTTATATGTATTAACTCATTTAATCCATCTTTCCATCTTTCCTTAGCTTTATACCATCCAAAGTTGAGTCTACTTGTTCAAGTTTAATTTACCTGATATACTTGGTCTGTAGTACTGTTCTTTTTAACCCTGACTGTAACTGTTGTTCCATCTGGTAGTGCTACTCTCAGCTCTACGTCGGAGACACCATTGTAGTTCTGGGGGAAAAGACACAGAGACAGAATTTATCACCCAGCATATCCTTACTCTCCTTGTAACATGCTAGCTAAACAACAACCTAAACATGTGACAGAAAGCAAGTTCCAATGAAAAGGGGTAAAAAGAAACCTTAAAGTCAATACATTTTACAAGTCAGAAAGCTGACTTCAGGCTGCAGCAGAAGTTAACCTTTAAGATGAACAGGGAGGAAAGAAACATGTTAAAGCCAATGTGTTCACATTTCAAAACAGAACACTTGTGTGAAGCAGTCTAGGTCAAACACAGATGAGATTTTTGGCTTACTTCCAAACATTCAGAACTCACAAATGAGAAAAGAAAACAACTGAAAGCAATAGTTTTGACAAACATTCTCTGGGTTTAAATGGTCAGGCACACTAGATTGGCTCAAGTAGTATCCTAAGTTCCTTTCTAAAGCCTGAAGTAATCATGATACCTTTGACAGGAAAAATGGGTGAAATGCAGGAATCTGAGTTAGTATAATATTCAATTTTCTTCTAGAGAAGAGTAAACAATTCTTATCCCTTAATTCAAAAGGTCCTTCTTTCTTATTGTTTTTGATGATTAATACAGTCCTCTAACAGATTTTTTTAAGTAGGCCCCATGCCCGGTGTGGAGCCCAGCTCAGGGCTTGAACTCATGACCCTGAGATCAAGACTTGAGCTGAGATCAAGAGTTGGATGCTTAACCAACTGCCCATGTGCCCCTCCTCTAACAGATTTTTGACTCTCTAAGTTTTATTAGAGAGAAACAACGATTTAAGAGCAAGTCGATTTTCATTTACCACTTAAAAAATATTCATCATCTAAAACCATCCTAAGCATTACTTCATTATAAGCCCTTGTCTGCAAGAAACTTAAAATCTAGTTGGGAAAATAAGACATATACATATAAAATAGTTAGTAGATAACACACTATTTAATATAGCAGCATTATGTATTCATTCTTCTACTCCATTAATATTTATTATGTACCTACAATATGCTGGACATTATAGTAAGGCACTGGGAATATAAAGATGACCAAGTTCTTTTTCTTGAGTTCTAATGTATAATAGCATGGTGACCAGAGTTAACAATACTGTATTGTATATTTGAATTTTGCTAGGATAGATCTTAAGTGTTCTTAAGATCACACACACACACACAGACACATACACAAAAGGAAAGAAAGAAAGAAAGAAAGAAAGAAAAAGAAAGAAAGAAGAAAGAAAATGGTAACTGAGGTAATGGATATGTTCGCTAGCTGTGGTGATATTTCACAATGTATACATATATCAAAACATCAAGCAGTACCTTTCAAATACAGATGATTCTTATTTGTCAATTCTACCTCAATAAGACTGGGAAAAAAAAAAAGACTTAGCTCTTACCTACAGGTAGTTCACAGTCTAGTGAACTAAAAATATAAAGTGATAATTTGATTATATGTATAAAAAAATTAGAGAATGAGAGAGCAACAAGGTGATGATCGGGTGATCCTGACTGCAAAAGTTCTTGGTGGAATGAAAAACCAATGACCTGAGTATCAGGGAAAGCGTCAAAGAGAAGGTGAAACTAGCACTAGGTTTTGAAAGGTAAGCAGGGTACAGAAGAAAGGGAAATTGAAAAAATAGCCATTTGGGGAATTTATGGCAATTCAATCTATAATCGATATCTTTATTTTCCCCCACAAGGAGCCAAGGGGTAAACAGTCACTGAAGGGAGTATTCACCTACCTCATCTGATTCTGATAGGAATTCCTGCATGATGTCACTCTCACCAATGACTCGTATTGAGCACACTGTAGAAAACAAAAATAGAATCTGGCATGAGGCCCTAAAATCAAGACTTTAAAGTCAAGAACATATCAAGGTTTAAGTGTAAATCATCAGTAGCAGGCAATGCAGAGGTGGGATGCCATTCCTGACACATGACATCTCAAGGCACAATAAACATTCATATAAATATGAACTAGAGGAGCGCCTGGTGGCTCAGTTGTTAAGCATCTGCCAGGGTCCTGGGATCGAGCCCTGCGTCAGGCCAGTCAGAGAAGCATAAGTAGTTAAAACCACTTTGGAAAAAATGGGTAGGTAATTAAGTAGTAAGCTCAGGGCATCTTCTCACCTCACTAACTTTAGCTTCAAAACAACTAAAAAAAAGGAAAAGAAAAAAAGGAAGGAAGGAAGGAAGGAAAGCAGGTAAGTAGCTAATTGTCTAAATATAACAAAGTTAATTTCCTGACACTCTCATGAGGATGTTAAGTTATACTGACGCTTTTACTTCATTTTATTAAAAAAAATTTATACCCTTTTTCATTTCCCAAGGGCTGTGTTTAGAGGCCATTCCATGTTAGGAAAAAAAGCTAAAAACTGATGAGGAAATCTCACTAACTTCTACAGGGGAAATAGATTTTTCTTCAGGGATAAGGCTTTCTACTAAAGTTTAAAAAAAATTCAACTAGGTCAATTAGTTCTTATACAAGGACACAAGGACACAGAATTAATAAATATCACATAAAACCATTATTCTATTAAATTAGTATTTTAAAAAAGGCCTGTTGCACAGCTGGCAAATTATATAACTCCATAATATAGTGAAGCAAGATCTCTTCTCTGAGCCACAAAATGAACTATCTTATTCCAGAGATTTGGGTCATTTCTCCTTGCCTTTCCAGATAAGCAAAAGTTTTAGCATCCACATCCCACTTCTGGTATACTATCTGGAAGTCCTAAGATAACAAGTAGGTTTCAATACTTCAACCTATAACCTGCTTAGATCAACAGGACCTTAGAATACCTACAACTTGGCACCTATAAGAGGAAAAAGGAGTTTTCAAGTAGGATATGCCAGTGAACTGAGAATCATTTTAATAAAAATGTTTTAAGTACTGCCCACTTAGTTCCCAAGTCAACTCAGCATGTTGATGAGTCTGTGTTTGCTGGCAAATAATATAACCCTATAAATAAAGGTCCCTAATGCATCAAAAACTAATTATGTATTTTTCTATTGTTGTTAAGTGCTCAGCAAGTCAATGAAATAGACAAATAATCCTTGTACTGGACATTTCAGTCTCAGCTTCAAAGCTCAGATCATTCAACACCAATGGTCAGAGAAATACGATTTACTTTCACTAGTTTCAGGAAACTTAGCTATGGAGTTTAAGAGTTGCAACACATACCTAGACTCCATGTCTACTTAAGATAGTAGAGTTTAATAGGCCAGTTTACCTTTTTCTAGATATTCTTCCAACCCCCGACGTCGGGCATCTAATTGCTGTTCTGATAAAGAGAATGGCCACTTCCCTGGAAGTCGGGGAAATGTAAAGTTGGCAAACTCTCTCTTCAGGTTCTGGTGTAGGATGGCAAACTCCCGGTACCGCTTAGAACACAGCTGCCTCCCTGCCATATAAACATTGTATACCTGGTGAGGGGAAAGAACAAAAAAAAAAAAAAAAAAAAAAAAAGCCTACTTACTACAAATTAAATCACAGAATCATCTAAAGTCAAGCTCAGACAGATGCTGTGAGGTATATTCTGCTATGTACTTAACGGAGAATGTGTTCATGATCACTGTAAAATAAGGCTTACTTTTAATAAACATGCCAGAAATGATATGTACAACAGTGCTACTCAAGTGGCCCATGATCTTATTTTTGCTATTAAAATTACCTCCAACACATTGTTTTAAATATCTTCAAAGGCTTTTAAGAGTGGATTTTATTTTCAGAAAGTTAAGTCATTCAAAGCCAATGTGGTAAATCTAGTGAATGAACAACCAAGAAAATTTGGAGATGTATAAAGTGAGGGTTGACTAGAAAGCAATGTGCCTGATATTTGTGTGTGGCCCAAACTGCAAAGAAAGTTCTAAAAATGATGTAATAGCATTTTGTTAGCAAAATGTTTTTGTTGCAAAAACTCCTTTCCTGAAGTCAGATATCTTTAGTTTTGTTCTTCCTTCCATCATTAAAACAGGGTTAACAAAAAGTTGAAGAATAAATGTATGCTAAGGACCACTTTGTAATTACAGAGAGTTAATAATCCTCATGAAGAAATGGTTAGAGATTTTTGTCTATTGTTCACAGATACATGCCAAGCTTCTAGAACAGGGTGTGGAACATAGCAGGCACTAAGTAAATATTTGTTGAATAAATAAATGAATGTATGTGAAATTCCTGAATATGTACCCTCATAAAGGAAAGTAATAAAACATGCAATCCAAAAACATCTAATAATGCAAGTTACTTTGTATTCTCAGAACATAACAATGAGGCAGAGATGGAAAAACTGGCCCCAAATCACATTTACTGGTTTTGCAAAAATCATTCCAAATTTTAAATGTGCACAAAACAGATCATATACTCATGGAATCAAGAGTTAATCACTGAGAATGTATTGGCCAAAGCCTTTCCTTCAAAGCTCAAAAAGTATCTTTCCCATGCTTCTGTGATTTAGGAAGTATGAATTAAATACAAAAATAATTTATTAATTCAAGACTCCTCTTCCATTCTCCGCCTATGATTCCTCCCCCAATTAAAAGCAAAGCCTCTAATCACTATGAAACAGTCTCCAAGGATGTGTATGATCCTGATCAATGAGCTTTGTTCCTGTGATTATCACTCAAAGTTGTAATGAATCACATATATTATCAAGTATTCCCACCACTGCCTCTTGAAGTACAAATGCCTAAAACAGAGAACAGCATTCCCCTTAGACAAGACCACAGTTCTCTTGAGGGCAGGCAGTCTTAAGAAAGTCCTACTCAGTCAATCTTGTCTTGTATCCTTCCTTTTCAAACTAAACTATCCAAACTTCTCAATAACATCACCATTCCTTTGCTTAAAAAAAAGCAAGTCCGTAACACTATGGGTGATATATGTCAGCCTGTGTTCCTCATACTAGGAAGGAAGGGAGGGAGGTAAAACTAGTTAGTGACACTGCTGGTTCAAAGATATTCCCCAATATCTTTTTCCAAGGAAGAGCAGAGTAGGTCTTTGATAATGCACATGAAGACTATAACTGCATTTCTTCACTTGAGTGATCTCAAGCCCAGTAAAACATTTCCTAGGGTAAAAAGAACGCTATAGCCTGAGAGCCTTTGTGATAATTTCAATAAGAAAACTGAAAAGTTGATTCAACTTTCAGTTTCTTTATAAAGTGAGAAGAGTAACATCAAATAGCCTCTCACCTACCTCCCCACCACTCCCAATTTAAATGTGGCATCAAGGCAACAGAAATATAAATAATCTGGATGCCTGACAGTTCTGTAAGACTTTAATGCAAGTAGGAATGGCTTCCCCAAGAGCCAAACCATTTTTAAATTAACTGTGCTTAGCAAATGAGAAACATACAAAAAGATCGCCAACAGATTGTTTTATTCTTCATTGGTCCTTAAAATTAACCAGTATCTATTAGTATTCTTATTTCCCTGGTCTGGACACACTCATTTGCCAAAAAAAATGACTGATTCACTTAGTGCATGCTGAGGCCTTCTGCCTAAAACTCAAGAATGTCTATAGTCCATGAGAAATGCCCATAGTCTCAGGATGCCTGGATGGCTCAGTTGGTTAAGCGTCTGCCTTGGGCTCAGGTCATGATCCCAGGGGCCTGGGATGGAGTCCCGCATCGGGCCCCTTGCTCAGCAGGGAGCCTGCTTCTCCCTCTGCCTGCCACTTCCCCTACTTGTATGCTCTCTCTCTAATAAATAAATAAATTTTTAAAATCTTAAAAAAAAAAAAAAAAAAAAGAGGGGCGCCTGGCTGGCTCAGTTGTTAAGTGTCTGCCTTCGGCTCAGGTCATGATCCCAGGGTCCTGGGATCAAGCCCGCATTGGGCTCCCTGCTCAGCAGGAAGACTGCTTCTCCCTCTCCCCTCCCCCTGCTTGTGTTCCCTCTCTCGCTGTGTCTCTCTCTGTCAAATAAATAAAATCTTTAAAAATAAAAATTAAAAAAAAAAAGAAATGCCCATAGTCTCATTACAAATGAGAATGTCTATCAAAAAATATATTCTCTGGTCTTAAAGAGGAACATAATCAAATAGGAACTAAAGATATACACAGGCGGGCAGTGCTTCTGCATTCCACCTTAATTTAAACCCTAAGACTGGCTGGCTCATAAACGGAACTAGATGAAGTTTGTCTAGCTTGCAATAGTACACTGAATTTAATGATCACTGGTCACTTTCTTCTCCAACTGACCATATCCTGTAAGACTTCAAGTTGGAATGTTCAGACTGCAAAGCCAGTTGTCTGAGATAACAAGTTCTTTCTCTCTTTTTCTCTTTCTTCTTTCTTTTTCTTCCTTCCTTCCTTCCGTTTCATACTAGCTTATTTAGGGGTTCCATTTTCACTCCTCAATAGATTTTATGTATTTCTCATATGCTTCTTCACTCATTAATTCATCCAATTCTGAAGGATTACTGAGTATTATCTTGATCAGCCAACCATCTTCATAAAAGGATTTGTACACAAGTCCTGGATTTTCTGTAAGAGTTTCATTAATTTCAGTTCCTTCTCCTAATAGAGGAAAACAGAGTTCACTAGCAGCTTCCACACTTTCCAAAGCACCAAATTCATCTTGATTGTTCAATTTTGTCCCACCTTCAGGCACACTACATTAAACAACATCTCCCAAAGCTTCCTGTGCAAAACTGCTGAATCCCAGTGTTCCAATACCATTTTCTGTTGTTACCCATTCAAGAGGAGAGCCCATGCAGAGTCAGACGGCACGTGCCCTCAGGCCCCAGGACTGGAGCAGGCATGGCTCAGTGGACTTAGAGGCGGCATGTGGCTCTGCACCACTCCTAGCACCATTGAGGGTAACAAGTTTCAGTCCTCTTGAGTTCCTCTCTGCTTATTAAGAACCCAATAAGAAAAAACATGGGTGAGGAAAGTGTAAAACTTATGTCAGTGATCTAATTTTGTTTCTCTGGATTCTGCAGGTCAAAGTTTCAAAATTCAGCTTCAAAATAATTTCTAATATGTAAATGCTGAAAATCCATGCTGTGCCATTTCTCTCTCTAGCCTCATGACTTAATCCTATGTAATGAATGCCAGAAGATGGTAACTGATAAATTCTTTTCTTTCTCTTTTTCTTTTATAGGCTCCATCCCCAATGTGGGGCTCGAACTCACAACCTTAGGTCTCATTCTCTACTAACTGAGCCAGCCAGGCATCCTGTAACAGATAAAATCTTACAATGAGCACAGCCTACTGCAGGGAAAGCAATTCTATTAACACCTGGGTTCTGTATTCAGTAGCAAAACTGAAATCCCAGATATCAGAGATCTCCATTTTGTTGGTTCCTTAAATCCCCACCTATAGGTTTCTTAAGGCTTTGAAATGGTAACATCTCATCCTATGTAGTATCTGAATATTAAAAAGTTCTCATTTTCTCAAATCTCTAGTAAGTGACAGGAATTGTGCTACTGAACACACAGAAGAGAATCTCCTTACATAATGCAAAAGTGATAAACAGAATGATGACATTTTGGCAATATCACCCAAGTTCAGCTTCCAAAAGTCAAATAGATGCCGTCCTGGTTTCTGCTATTGATCTGGATGAATCTTCAATGTACATTATGACAAACAAATTGTTTCCAACATCACCCTCCTATTTAATCTTATTTTTAGCGAAAATCCATCTTTAAAAAACTACATTATTTGCCATTCACAAGCTGCTTATAAAGTAAAAGGAGATACAGCACTCTTAGTTGATTTCTGGGTAAAATGCATGAGATCCTTAACTCAGGGATTTTTCCCAAATGCTGAAGTTTTTAGGCTCCTTCTTGGAAATAAAAAAGCATAAAGGCCACAATATGCTCTTAAATAACTTAGGTTTCTTGTATGTGCGTGCATGCATGCATATGTGTATTTTCCCTAAGATGGATCATAAATGGTCTCTGTTACTTTTCTTTCTTTATTTGAGCCTCAGGTGTCCAGAACTGGATTAATCATAATCCTTGGTTCACAACACAGGCTCATTATGGCAAGCTCTTTGTTTGGATATTTAATTAGTTATTGTTAACCTTGTAAAAAGTAAACTATAAACTAAGACCCTGACAATAATTTCTAACCATTGTCTCTGCCACCTTCATCCCTTCTCCCTGCTCCTCTGATGCCCAAAATTAACATATTCAATCATGTTCATCATTCCCTTGCTTTTCTTTTTATAGTATTTTCCTGTATTTATAAGTAATCCTTAAATTTTTATTTTTTATTTTAATTTTTAAAGGGTATTTTAGTTTTAATGGAATATTACAAAAAGAAAAAAAGTTTGCCATTTGCAAAGATGTGGATGGAACAAGAGGGTATTATGCTGAGCAAAATAAGTCAGAGAAAGACAAATACCATATGAATTCACTCATATGCCGAATTTAAGAAACAAAACAGATGAACATAGGGGAAGGGAAGGAAAAATAAAATAAG